TTCTCCCTCTGCCTGTGTCTCTGCTTCTCTCTCTATATATTTCTCATGAATAAATAAAATCTTTAAAAAAAAAAAAAAAGGAATGGACCCTGAAAGAGGAGAGTGTGCACATGAGTGAATGTGGAGTGTATTGTCTTCTCATGATTAGCACCGTTTAAGTTGAAACTGGCTCAGGGAACAGAGAGTGAAGGGGGTGGATTTCTTTTTTTTTTCAGATTTTATTAATTTATTCATGAGAGACAGAGAGAAAGAGAAAGAGAGAGAGAGAGAGAGAGAGAGAGAGAGAGAGAGAGAGAGGTAGAGACACAGGCAGAGGGAGAAGCAGGCTCCATGCAGGGAGTCCGATGTGGGACTCCATCCCAGGTTTCCAGGATCACGCCCTGGGCTGAAGGTGGGCACTAAACCACTGAGCCACCCAGGGATCAAGGGGGTAGATTTCATAAGGGATTGGATGAGAGAAAGACAAAAGTGAAGAAGTAGAGGTGGGGGTGACTGTAAAGTGTTTGGCCTGAGCAGCTGGATACTGGTGGTCCTGGGGGTTGATTAGATTTACGCTGGTACTGGTACCAAAAAGATCGTGCAATTTATAGGAAGAACAAAACAATTCCTGGAGAGATCCTGACAAGGCTGCTTGTGGACCCCTGTGCCCTCAGACCTGCTCCTGCCCTTGCCTGCCTGGCTCTGTGTCCCACCGTGCACATGCTGATCCTGGCATCTGCACCCTCCAGGTTCCTGAGTCAGTCGGTCTCTGGCCCAGTTTGGCTAAGAAGAGGCTGCTGGCGGATTGGAAAGCGGGAGGAAGGGAAAGAGCAGGGTATCTCTGCCCTCCTCTCTCCCAGTCCTGGGTAGCAGCTCCTATCTCCAGCTGTGGCTGCGTCTCTTCCGTGGCTCCAGCTTCAGGCCTGTTGTGGTTTCAGCTTCCAGCAGGTGACCCCTGAGCTCTGACCCTCTGGCAAAAAATGGCAGCAGCTTCCTGCTCTCACTGACCGCTGGGTTCCATTACCTGTCCAACAGAATCTTTCCCCTAAATTGCCTCTGTTATAAATCTGTGAAGTCATGTTGTTTTCCTGGTTGCCCTCAGCTGTGGGGCGACAGGCTAAGGACTTACGTGAAAGCACTCAGGCCCAGGTGAGAAGCAAACACTTTGCACAACCCCACCTGTGCAGACTCATGGGCTCCAGGTGTTTACCAGCCCTCACCTTGGGATTTGCTCGTTCTTGACCTCTGTGCTTTTGTACCAGCCACTCCCTCTGTCTGTGTGTAATAGTTTTCACACAACCGTGGCAATCTCCTCTTAAAATCCCAACTCAGAAACCCTGACCTCCTCTAGGCCTTTCGACAGTGACTCAGCTGTCCAGCCTCCCAGCCCGTTGCCTTTGCTCTGCATGCACTTGCTGAAACATTGCTGGGGAGTTGCGCACTGTCTCCGACATCTGTGCTTGTTAGACTGTCCCCTCTATAACTGCTTACTCTCTTCTACTGGAAAACTTTTACACAGCCTTCAAAACCAACTTTGAGGGACGCCCGGGTGGCTCAGTGGTTGGGCATCTGCCTTTGGTTCAGGGCATGATCCTGGAGTCCCCGGATCGAGTCCCACATCAGGCTCCCTGCATGGAGCCTGCTTCTCTGTCTGTGTCTCTGCCTCTCTCTGTGTGTCTCTCATGAATAAATAAATAAAATCTTAAAAAAATACAAAAAAAAATTTTGAGGGACACCTGGGTAGCTCAGTGGTTGACCATCTGCCTTCGGCTCAGGCTGTGATCTCGGGGTTCTGGGATCGAGTCCTGCATCAGGCTCCCTGCATGGATCCTGCTTCTCCCTCTGCCTGTGTCTCTGCCTCTCCCTCTCCCTCTCTCTTGTTTCTGGCAGGTTCCCTCCCCAAATTTGGACACAAACTCCCACATTCCCGCTGCTGTAGGTTTCTGCCAAACCACACTGTAGTAGTTTCATGTGTTTGTCTCCCATATAAAACAGCCAGCTCCTTGGAGGTGGGGGCTAAGTTGCAAGCTCTGGTCTGGACACCAATGGCCCTCAGTGACTCTTCATTGGATGATGGGTGCTGGATGCATGGGTGACCATGGGTTTTCAGTGGCTACAAGCCAGTGCCTTAGGTCTCCCCAGCCTGGTCATAGGCCTCTCTTAAGGGGATTCCTAATTCCTGAGCAGACTGTTGGCACCTCCTGAGGGTGTTATCAGGTAGGAGGAAACCAATAAATGTTGTCATCAGACATAAGCATTTTTTTTTAAGATTTTATTTATTTACTCATGATAGACACATAGAGAGAGACACAGGCAGAGGGAGAAGCAGGCTCCATGCAGGGAGCCCGACGGGGGACCTGATCCCGGGTCTCCAGGATCACGCCCTGGGCCAAAGGGAGGCGCTTAAACCGTTGAGCCACCCAGGCTGCCCCCAGACATAAGCATTTGTTTATTTCCCTATATACCACCCCTTTTTCTTTCTCTCTCTTTTTAGCTTTTATCTCTTAAGCTTACTTAGTTTTACTTACTTTTATATTTGTTTACTTTGCATTTTGCAATTATTTTATATGTTAAAGATTTTATTTATTTATTTGAGAGAGACAGAGATAGCAACCGAAATAGGACAGGCAAGGAATCCGGGAGACATGGAGTCAGAATAGCCAGGGCCAGGCAAAAGACAATGGGTCTGAAGCAGTTGAGTTTGGGTGTAGGTAGACAGGTGGTGGGCAGGGCTTGTGTTGAAGAGTGGCAGAAAGGGAGATTTGATATCAGGCATGGAGATCTTGGCCGTCAGGTTAAGCAGTTTGAGTTAATTTTTTTTTTTTAAAGATTTTAGGGGAGGGGGAGAAAAAAAATAAATATCTTATTTATTTATTCATGAGAGACACAGAGAAAGAGGCAGAGGGAGAAGCAGACTTCATGCAGGGAGCCTGATGTGGGACTCAATCCCAGGGCTCCAGGATCAGGCCCTGGGCCAAGGAAGGATACTTAACCACTGAGCCACCCAGGTGTCCCAAGTGTGAGTCAAATTTAGGTAAGAGGGAGCCCTTGGAATCTGGAGCAGGTGGAATGAGTGAGGGCCTGGGTTAGGCCGAAACAGGGAAATTTAAATGGCATGGAGATTTTCAGCTACAAAATCAGAGAGCATCTGGAATAAGAAACTGCTCAGATATATAGTACATAATGATTTATACATATTTTGATTTTCTGCTATGTTTGTCTTAAAAACCACCTTTACTGTTATTTGCCCCCTTATGAAAGGTAGATATTTCATTTTAGAAAATCTAGGCTGGGAGCTTAGCTTCAACATAGTGGGCCACAGGCAGCCACACTGGGGGCTTGAGGAAGAGTGACAGGAGATGGCAACTCTGTTAGGGAGGGAAGGAAAACTCAATTGGTTGTGTAAGAGGCAGAGGGCCAGTGGAAGGCAGTGATGAGGCCATGATACATTTAAGTGGTAGGGACACTCCAGAATAATGATGATAAAAAGCTAATATTTAAATGTGTGCTTGAGTATTTACATTAAAAGCATGAGAAATCTGAGGTGCAGGGAGTCTAACTAGTTCAAGGTCACACAGTAAAGAGTGGTGGAGCTGGGATGTAAGCCTAGCTGAGCTCTGCACTACTTTTAACTGCCACATCTGCTTATGGATTTTTTACCTTTCACATGTACAATTCAGATATCTCTACTGTAGTCTATAAATTTCTAGGTGACTAGAGCTTATGTTATATGGTCCTGATGTGCTGCTATTCTGAACTCTGGGTTGATGAAAGCAGCTGACACACTTCTGTCAAATGATTTCAAGGCCAGAGTCAGGGTAGAGTCAAGGTTGGCTAGGTATGTAGAACTCCACTGCACCCCTGCAACTGGCAGGATGCAGGCAATGATTCAACAGTGTCTGTTAAGCTGGTACCTCTCTACCCTTATGGCTCAAAATAGTAATTGTGTAATATTTGTTTAATGTTTAAAGAGAATACTCTGATTTGTGTACTTAAAATTATGTAAATACACCCTCAGGATGCTGGTGAAAGGTGCGATTTTGACATAACAAGCGGATACATCAAATATTTAATTAAAGGACCAGATGAAAAAAGCAGATGATAGGGATGCTTGGGTGGCTCAGTGGTTAAGAGTCTGCCTTTGGCTCAGGGCATGATCCCGGAGTCCCAGGATCAAGTCCCATATTGGGCTCCCTCCGAGGAGCCTGCTTCTCCCTCTGCCTGTGTCTCTGCCTCTCTCTGTCTCTCTCATGAATAAATAAATAAAATCTTAAAAAAAAAAGAAAAGAAAAAAAGCAGGTGATGGTAATGTAGTCTAGCCACCCCACTCCCTACCACCCACCCCAGGTCTGAGAGAGCAGCAATCCAGTGTCATCTTTGAAAACAAAATAGGAGGGACGCCTGTGTGGCTCAGCGGCTGGGCTTCTGCCTTCTTCTCAGGGCCTGATCCCAGAGTCTTGGGATAAAGTCGCACACTGGGCTTCCTGCAAGGAGCCTACTTCTCCCTCTGCCTATGTCTCTGTCTCTCTGTGTGTCTCATGAACAAATAAAATATCTTAAAAAAAATACAAATGATTTATTTTCAGGATCCAGAAATGTATATGTACCCCCTGTGTAATATTAACTAGTGGAGGGAAAACTGAAAGGTTGCTTGCTCCTCCCTTGCTAAGGAAGGGTGTTTATTAGCTAGTGGCAATGAAAAATTTAATACTAGTTTATAGCAGGGGACTTGTCTTGGACCTTTCATCTGGATAGGTGGCTCTTATTCCTCTCATGAATAAGCTATAGCCTTAGTCCAATCCTAATTTGTTCTTTATCTATTTACCATATTTAAAAAACCCTCCTGGGCAGCCCAGGTGGCTCAGCGGTTTAGCACCGCCTTCAGCCCAGGGTGTGATCCTGGAGTCCCAGAATCGAATCCCACATCGGACTCCCTGCATGGAGCCCGCTTCTCCCTCTGCCTGTGTCTCTGCCTCTCTCTCTGTGTCTCTCATGAATAAATAAATAAAATCTTGGCTGTGGACTGTGGGCCGCCGGGGTCGGTGAAGGATCTCAAGATGGCTGGGCGAAAACTTGCTCTAAAAACCATTGACTGGGTAGCTTTTGGGGAGATCATACCCCGAAACCAGAAGGCCATTGCCAACTCCCTGAAATCCTGGAATGAGATGCTTACCTCCAGGTTGGCTACTCTTCCTGAGAAACCACCTGCTATCGACTGGGCTTACTACAAGGCCAATGTGGCAAAGGCTGGCTTGGTAGATGACTTGGAGAAGAAGTTTAATGCCCTGAAGGTTCCTGTGCCAGAGGATAAATACACTGTCCAGGTGGATGCTGAGGAAAAAGAAGATGTGAAAAGCTGTGCTGAGTTTTTGTCCCTCTCAAAGGCCAGGATTGAAGAATATGAAAAAGAGCTGGAGAAGATGAAGAACATAATTCCATTTGATCAGATGACCATTGAGGACCTGAATGAAGTCTTCCCAGAAACCAAATTAGACAAGAAGAAGTATCCCTATTGGCCTCACAAGCCAATTGAAAATTTATAAACTTGAGTTGAGGAGAAAGCAGCCCCGGCCCTCATATTATAAACATTGGACATTAAAAATAATGATACGGTGTAAAAAAAAAAAAAAAAATAAAAAAAATAAATAAATAAATAAAATCTTAAAAAAAAAATCAAAACCTTTTTTTCTCCCTTCTCTTACTTTTTGGTTTATTCTGAGCAGTTGTCCCCAGGAAACTAACCCACACACTGCTGTCAAGTTTGATTCCTGTTCCTGGAGTCCCACCTTTCTGCTCCTCTAGGATGTAGGATGTCTCAGGTGGCTTTTCTTTCTTTCTTTCTTTCTTTCTTTCTTTCTTTCTTTCTTCTTTCTTTCTTTCTTTCTTTCTTTCTTTCTTAAGATTTTATTTTTTCATGAGACACACACAGAGAGAGAGAGAGAGGAGGAGAGAGAGGCAGAGACACAGGCAGAGGTAGAAGGGACTCGATCCCCCCAGTCTCCAGGATCACAACCTGTGCTGAAGGCAGCACTAAACTGCTGAGCCACCCGAGCTGCCCTTCAGTTGGCTTTTCATCTTGGTCATCCACTTGCAAACTCTCTCTTAGAGTCTTAAGACCAGGAGGACTGTAGAGGTTTTTTTTTTTCCTCCCCCCTTGGCCTTTTTTTTTTTTTTTTTTAAACCTTTTTAGACGATGGAGGGTGGGGCCAACCAACTGGGTGTCAGCAGGGCTGGTCGCCTATCCCTTCTGTGACCCTCTGGGGCCATCTTCCTTCTGGCAATTCTATTCCCCCATCTGTTTTCCTCTTGTTTTTGTTAAAAAAAAAAAAAAGAATTAAAAACAATCAAAGAAAGGAAAAGAAACAAACTCTAGAAATATAACACCTCTGGAGCAACGCCAGTATGGTAGAAAATTCTATAGGTGTTTAGATTCATGTGGAAGCATGTACATGTTTACCTGCAGCTCTCAAATTATGGAAGAAACTCATACTGGCAGTAGATGGTAGCAAGAGAAGCTCCAACATAATCTTAAAGTATAAGATGTTTACTTCTCTTTCATTGGCAAAGAAGAGCTTTGTTTTGTGTTTTTCTAGTTTTATCGAGATACAATGAACATATGTTTTGGTTTTATGTGATAATAATTTTTACACTCCTTGCAGAGTTCAGTGAATGCTCCGTGAGCTTAGATTCACTCCAGGTGCTGAGGGGAGAGCTTCTAAGAGCAGCTGAGGACCTGGCCTTCCATGTTGGGCCTGCCAGGCTCTTCCTCCACCTGGAAGCTCTTCCCATCTCAGGACAATACCTATCTCAGGGCCTCAGGATGGATTTGTCCCTTTAGGGAGGTGTTTCTGCAGCCTGAGGACTTGAGCACATTTGTCCAGCTGGGTGGATTTGAGAGCTTCCCATGTTGATCTTCCCTGGAAAACACCCTGAATCCTGATGAACCCAAATTCAGAGGAGCTGGGAATATTTATATGGTTGCCTTTTTTTTTTTTTTCTGTTATCTCTTTGGTTATTTAAGCTGGATACCAGAGTTTTTTTGTTTGTTTGTTTATTGAAGTACAATTTACACACAGTGAAATTTTGCACAGATCTTGAATGGCAGGCTTACAAGTTTTGACAAATGTACACACCAATGATATATTGGTTTCATTATGCCAGAAGTTTCTGTCATCCCCCTTCCCAGTCCAAGTCCCTTACCTCCAGGGATGCCTTTTGTATTCTCACATCTTGGTTTTGGACTATTCTACAATTTCCTGTAAATGGAACCAGACAGTATGAACTCTTTTGTGTTTGGCTTTTTTCTCTTATCATGATGTTTTTGAGATTCATCCAGTTAGCTGCTCATACAAGTAGAACCCAAGATGTCACTAACAACTTGACAGTGGGGACAACTGTTCCACCCCCTGGCCTTCAGACCAGATACCCTCTAAATCCTGGGATGTGGCCCTTCTGCTCCTCGAAGTCCGCCCTTCTAGGGCCAAGCAAGCTCCTCTCTCAAAAGTGCTCAGGCAGCCCGAGACACCACCCAGATGGCCGCGGGGCCATCACCGGGTAGCCTCCCTGAACAGCTGCCCTCTGCCCCCCAACCCCCATTACATTCAAAAGGAAACTGGCTCCTCCGCAGATCTGAATTCAGATTCGTTAAATTCCACGCATCCAATTGCACGCAAGTGTGTGTTTTGGTGTTGCTATTGCAGAGTCCTTAAGAAAACGTAAAAAGGAAAGAAAAAAAAGTGTGTGTGTGTGTGTGTGTGGGGGGGAACCCAGACCTCACTGGCAGTGGTTATCGGCCTCCGTGGAACTCGGATTCAGAACGCAATCTTTTCTTTTTTAAATAAACGAAGAGTCGCCCTCCGCTCCTCGCTCCGGGAGGTTTCAAAGGTCGTCGCACCGAAGCCCGGGGGCGTTCTTCTCCCCAGCGGCCGGGGGGAGGGAGGAGGTCGGAGGGAGGTGGGGGGAGGGGGGAGGGGGGAGGGGGGGAGGAGGGAGGGAGGGAGGAGGGAGGGAGCACACAAAAGCGAGCCGTGCCGAGAGGGCTAATGTTTCCTGTTTGCCTGGAACCCCCTCCCCTGCGTCCCCTCCCCCAGCCCCCTCCCAGCACTCCGGCGGAAGTGAGTTTGCTCCTTTGGAGATTAAAAGGATTCCGAATTCCAATCAGTCCCAATAACCGGCGTCCTGAGAGGAGAGGAGGAGGAGGAAGAGGCGGCAAAGCAGAGAAAGAGGGGCACGCGCGCGCGCGCACGCACTCGGCCCGAACCGGGCGGGGGGGGGGTCGTGCAAACCCCGGGAGGCCGGAGCGCAGCGCCCGAGCGCAGGCCGGCGGGCGCGGCCGGGGCCACCCGACTCTCGCTCGGCGACTCGTCCAGAAGGAAGATGACGCGGGCGGGCGGCGCTGGCCACGCGGCTCCCGGGCTCACCGGGCTGGGCCGGGGCCGGCTCCACTGATTCCGGCGCGCCCCGGAGGAGGCTCCGTCCTCGCGGCTCGGGATCGGAGGGGGACCGAGGCGAGGGCGAAATGGCCCGATGACAAAGGAAATGTGATCCCCCTCGGCTGCCAAGGTTTCGGAGAGGACGGACGTGAGGAGGAGGAGGAGGAGGAGGGGCGCGGGGCGCGCGCGGAGCCCGGATAGCATTGCACGACGGCTCGCGCGGAGCGGGCGGCGGGTACATCTAATATCTTCCTGCCGATGAATAATTCAGGACGGCCCGCGGGGACCTGCGGCCCCGCGCTGCAGCGCGGCTGAGCCGGAGGGGCCGGAGCGCGCGCAGGAGGCGCCGAGGCCGGGCGCGGCGGGGCACGAGGGCCGGGCCGGGCCGGGCCGCGTGGGGCGCGCGTGCGTGTTGGGTGTCGGCGGCCGCGTCGGCCGGGCGGGCGCGCGGGAGCCTCGAGGCGCGGGGGGCGCGTGCGTACTACCCGCGTGCGGCCGCGGCCGGGCCCCGCTCGCTTCCCTGCGCCGGGGCCCACCGCCCCGCTGGGGAGGCCGCGCCCGGCCGTGCGCCGGCCCCGAGCGCCGCGCGCCGGGCCGCCCGGGAGCCCCTGGCCGCCGCGTCATGCGGAGGGGCAGCCGGCGTCGCGCGGGGGGACCCGGGCTTGGCGTCGCGCCGCTCCCGCCTCCACTAGTTTGGGGCGCTTTCCTCTCCCAAGAGGAGCCTAAAAACTAAGTCTGCTGGAAGGAAAGCAACGCAGCGAACACTCGCGGGACCAAATTCCGCTTCGGCCGCCGGGACTGCGGCTGCACAGCGGACTCCGCTTTGGGGGACTGACCTCTGCAGGGAGGGCCGCGCTCCAGCTGCTCCAGCTGCTCCAGCTGCTCCAGGGAGCCCGCTGACCTCCCTGCCCCCGCTCGCGCCTCGCGTGTCGGGACTTGTTCCGGCGCTTCGGCCTCCAAAGGCGCGCAGCCTCCGCGTCCCGGGAGGAGTCCGTGTCGCCCCTGCGGAGTGGCATTTGATGCCCGCCGCGCCGGGGAGCGGCCCCCGGACCGCCGGCCCGGCCGATGCCCGTGTGTGAGTGAGTCGGCGGCTCCCCCACCCGCCTCGGCCGCCGGCCCCCGGCCCCCGGCCCCCATCCTCCATCCTCCATCCTCCTCCTCTTCCTCTCTGGTCTCCTCCCTCCTCGCAGTCGGCTTGCAAATGGCTTCGTTCCCCGAGCCCGACTTCCAGGTCTGCCTGCTGTGTAAGGAGATGTGCGGCTCGCCGGCGCCGCTCTCCTCCAGCTCGTCCGCGTCGTCGTCGTCCTCGCAGACGTCCACGTCGTCGGGCGGCGGCGGCGGGGGCCCGGGGGCCGCGGCGCGCCGCCTGCACGTCCTGCCGTGCCTGCACGCCTTCTGCCGCCCGTGCCTCGAGGCGCACCGGCTGCCGGCGGCCGGCGGCGGCGCGCCCGGGGAGCCGCTCAAGCTGCGCTGCCCGGTGTGCGACCAGAAGGTCGTGCTGGCCGAGGCGGCGGGCATGGACGCGCTGCCCTCGTCCGCCTTCCTGCTCAGCAACCTGCTGGACGCCGTGGTGGCCACGGCCGACGAGCCGCCGCCCAAGAACGGGCGCGCCGGAGCGGCGGCGGGCGCGGGCGGCCACAGCAACCACCGGCACCACGCGCACCACGCGCACCCGCGCGCGCCCGCCTCGGCCCAGCCGCCGCTCCCGCCCGCGCCGCCGCCGCAGCCCGCGCCCTCCCGCCCGGCGCCCGGCGGCCCCGCGGCCTCCCCGTCCGCGCTGCTGCTGCGCCGGCCTCACGGCTGCAGCTCCTGCGACGAGGGCAACGCCGCCTCGTCGCGCTGCCTGGACTGCCAGGAGCACCTGTGCGACAACTGCGTCCGCGCGCACCAGCGCGTGCGCCTCACCAAGGACCACTACATCGAGCGCGGCCCGCCGGGGCCCGCGGCCGCCGCCGCGCCGCAGCTCGGGCTGGGGCCGCCCTTCCCCGGCGCGCCCTTCTCCATCCTGTCGGTGTTCCCCGAGCGCCTCGGCTTCTGCCAGCAACACGACGACGAGGTGAGCGCGCGGGCGGCCTCCCGGGGGCGGAGCGGGGTGTGCGGCCGGCGGGGGACCGCGGCACCGGTGCCGAAGCGGGGTGTGCGTGTGGGCCGCCCCCCGGGTTGCGCGTTCTACCTTTGTGG